TTTATGTAAAGCACTTTGAATTACCATTGTGTATGAAATGTGCTATACAAATAAACTTGCCTTGCCTTGCCTAATATTATTATAAATATTAATATCTTTTTTATTGCACCATGAGATTTTCATTGTTTATTTTCATTGCAATGAGAAGGAAAGCCTGCTGTCTGTGGAATGAAGCCTTATTATAACGCAACTTAATACTACATTTGCTTGTAGCGGGTGATGCATTGTTCAGTCTTGAGGGGAACAACAAGACAGGAGTTGTGATCCACTTACCAAAGCTCTAGTTTCACTCTCCGCCCATCCAACAGGATCGTGGTGGTCTTATAGTCGATTCCTGCAGAATGAGAGACAGAGAACACTTAGAGATGGGAGATAGGACACGTACCTGTCTGTCTGCCATCAGATATCACACAAGGTTGTCTACTGAAAAGAAAACACTCTAGACAGGATCAGGAACTTGAAAAGCTTCGGCCGTCAGCATGATTGCATTTGGTGTACTACCTAATTTAATTCTCAGCCAATTCTTCCTTTCATTAGAAGGCACTAAAGCTGAAATGACCATCTTGATAGTGACTGTGCACATTCAGTGGAAAGCTTGACAGCTGCAACCAATCTGCTGTTACCTAATGCTATCATAGCTGAAATGTGGCCAGGACGTTTCCCATAAGGCAATTACTTTGACTGCTTATCTACATTTATCATTCATAAAACGAAAAAAAAAATAAACACAGTACGGGCTCCATCAACTGAATGGCAATTTCTGCATTTTCGGGCGCTTCACAGCAGGTCAGCATTCAAACCTGTTTTGCATTTTAATAGACAGCTCTGTCTCTAACAAAGGCTCACTGCGTCTCTTTTCATACAGGCCTGTGTCTGTAATATTCACCATGCCATGAGTGCTTGTCTCAGTAGATCATCTTTTTGCACACTTGAAAAATCAGATTATCCGTAATGCTGACAACATGGACACGGACTTGTCGCCAGCCTGGAGTAGTCGGGTAGAGTTTTTCATCATAATGAGAGTGGTTTTGGCCATTGCTTCTCTGGTGCATCAGTTCTAAAAAGGAAATCAACTTTGTTCCTCTCTGATTAGAGGCAAAAACAAAGTCCTCTTTTGTTGACAGCAGTTGGTCAAGTTGCAATATCAGTTTTATTTCAATTAATTGTGCAGCATTACAGCAGGAAATAAACTAATAATAATAGAAATGTAAAAAAATATATACTATATACTATGCTATACTATAAAATAATAATAATAATAATAATAATAATCATATTTCTGTTAGAGTACAACTGTAAAATTACAATGGTAAAACATATGGCTGTCTTAACTTTATTTTCAAATGTTAAACCGTTGAGTTTTTATTTTGGCAACAGCAGGTCGAGATGCAGTTTTCAGTTTTTCACTATTTTGATAAATCGTGCATCCCTACAGCAGAGGCTTTAAATAGATAAAAGGAAGGGGAAAGATGGGACGATCATCTTTTTTAAGATACTTCGTAAAGCTTTGATGACTCTTAACAGAACATGTCTGAAGGAGGGTCTGCTCTCACGCTCAGCGAGACAGGCAGCGTAAGATCTCCTGAAAGGCCAACGGCGACTGGTTCTGAGCCCATAGGCTTCTTCAGTCCTCCATTATTAAACATTTAAAAGAGAATGTAACAACGGAAAATAGTGCGCACTTAAAAAGAACCACTGGGGCTGATTCCCTGCTGCTCTCTATCCTGCAAAAGCTTTGCTCTTAAGCAGGGCAGCACATCAAGCCAAAGGCGCATCGTACTTCCTTCCTCTAGCATCCCTCCTCCTTCGTTCTGGGTAATTGTATGGGCAGATGGCTCGGCTACGCGGCCTGACAAGGGCAGTGTGGTGTAATTATCGTCTCAGATTCCAACTCGGGCCTCAGGCCAAGACTTCCCAGCCACGCTGAGCAAAGACAGCCTTGAAGCGGCTAGTTTTGAGGAAGAGCCTGGAAGTGAAAGATCCAGCAGGACTTGAGGACACGTGAGAAGGATCAAGTAGACCAAGTGGACAGTGACATGTGCAGGCATGTTTAATTTGATTTCAACAGCCTATTATCAATGGACAGAGAAAACAAAAAATCTTTTCAATTGGAGAATGTAGCAATGTTGGATTTTTTTTCATAGAAGGAGGCCTTTGCTTTCAGAGCATGATGTCTTTGTGACTCATTGTTTGGTTTATTCTTAACATATTTAGATGCTGTGAATTGCAATATGGCCAGCTATGCTGAGGAGCTTGAACAGGGTGCGTCTGAGTTTGAGAGTATTTTCAAAGACTGCGAGCACATGAGAGCAATGAAACAAACATGCCTGAGGTGGAGAAAGGTAGAAAAGCTGGTTTCACTGAGACCCTGCATTTCAACAGGAGCTTCTGTTTGTGTGTTTAAACAGCACACAACATGACTCTGACTTCCATATCTGATCACTACTTTATCATTCATCAGAGGGAGAAGAACTGTGGATATTCGCTTTCCACTAAAAATTAAACACAATGAGAGCAGTGTCATAATGAAGTCTTTTTGAGGGTTTGAAGGTTTTGCTCAAAATAACACATTCAGAGTAACTCTGTCTGAGGTTTAGCTGCAAGGCTGATTTTAGGCCTCATTTTGGTTAAAGAACTAATGGAAACTCTGACTATAACGGGGGGAAAGGTCTATAGCAGTGGTTTTGCACTAGGACTAGGGCAGTGCTACATATTTTCAAAATAGACTGGTCAACTAACTGGTCTTAAAGGGATAGTTCAACCAGAAATTAAAATTCATCATTTATTCTCCCTCATTAAAACATTAAAAAATCTTATTAACCCCAAACTTTTGAACATTAGTGTACATAAGACACACAAGGTTCTTGCATTTATAAATGTTTAAGCACAGAACAACAAAACTGAATCTCAAGGTACATTTTTAAAAGTTGGACTATTTTAACTTCATGTGCAGTCTTTAAAAAAATCACTGCAGCGGTGCATTAAATGGGATTAATAAAAAAAAAAAAGCACATTTCTGAGAGGGTCTTACAAACTGTCAAACATCTAAAGTAGGGATGCAACGATACCATTTTTTTCAAAACCGATCCAATACCAAAAATTCGGAGTATCGGCTGATACGGTTATCAGCTAGGGCTGTGCAAAAAATCGAATGCGATTTTCATGCGCATCTCGTCAGTAAAGCCGCTCCTGTGATTAGTAGTAAATCTCCAGCACATGCTTTCAGATGGAGCGGCATTTACTACACAGAGCCATAGTTCACTGACAAGTAGGGTTGGGTATCGAAAACCGGTTCCATTTTAGAACCGGTTCCAAATTTCCAAGAACCGGGCATTCGATAATACGCGCGCATTTCGATTCCGCTTAACGATTCCTGTGTTCGCATTTTAATGTGATTAAAAACAATTTAAGTGCAGGAACGGAAAGAACTTGCGCCCTGTTTGCGTGCAGCGCACACGAAGCGCAAGCGCGAGCACAGAGAACAGAGGTCGCGGTACGGGTTCCCGGTTTGTGTCCGTTCTCGAACCTTTCTGTGTATTTCCACTAGAAAAGGTTGTTCCGGGCCGAAACTGACTTCTTTCATATTTGTCGACCAATATGCAGAAAACTACGTCAGTATATCATCATAAACACAGCTGTTTTTGTCTCGCATTCAATTTTTTGCACAGCCCTAATACCAGCACAGTTTTTTTTTAAAGCAATGTAGAATTTCAATATCTCTGTATGTTGACCTGATCATCACTGTTCTGTGTGTTAAACACAATCTACTAAATATAGACAACTTCATTATACAGAAAAATAACAAATGAAAAAATATAGAATCATAATCTGACAAAAACACTATTAGAAACTAGGTTAGTAAATAATTAAGCAGCAAAACTTACTCTAGAAAAATGATTATTGCACAATAATTTATGCGATAGTTCTTTTAACCATTTTAAATTTCAGTTGCTGTGCGTGTGAAGAACAATTCATAGTGCTCTCTACTCCAGTGTAGTGATCTAACAGACGCACGGTAGAAAGTAACATGATTTTCTTTTCTTGTTCTGTCTTATCTATCATATGTTGCTGCCTCATTACTGTGCTATAAATGTAAAAGAAATGTCTTTTAATTTATTGAATATATTTATATAAATATATTTACTTGTTTTTCATGAATGTATTTTACAACAATACAAAGTATTGCAATGTATATAATTTTACCAGATTACACCTATTTACTTTTATTTTTTCCCCCACTAAATAATGATTTTTCTCTAAATGTTTAGATTTTATAAAATTATTGTGAACTCATCCTTTTTGTAGAGTAATTTTTGCTGCTGAATTATCCACTAACCAAGTTTACAATAGTATTTTTCTCATAGATTATTATTATATTTTTCATTTGTTATTTTTCTTTATAATGAAGTTGTCTATATGCTTATCAACTGGTTGTTTGTAGTCAACTACCATGACCCATCCTTAATATTGGACACTAGTGTTGTCAGAAGACCCGTTACTTCGGTACCAAGTCGGTACTAAAAAAATGAAAACGTTACGGTACCAGTTTTTTTTTTTAAGTACCGGTGTGACGATTTCGATTAATCGCACAGCCCTACTTTATAACAGTAAATAAATATCGGTTCTGCATATCGGTTATCGGTCACATAAACATGCAAATAATTTGTATCGGTATCGGTTATAAAATATCAATATCGGTCGATCACTAGCACCGAGTACCCGGTCAACCCGGTTCTTGATGCGCTAACCGAAAGGTGCGCAGATGCGCTCTCTTCATAAAAGCACTGAGACGTGGCGAGCATAAGTGCGGCTAACGCTAATATAATGAGCATTGGAATTAAGTTTCTTTATTAACTATTTAATGCTCCTATAACTTTTATTAGGGTTAAAAAAAACAGGAGGGCATGATGATATTTACTTTTTTTACACACCAGAGGCTTTTAAATGAATTGTGAATCTAAAATATGCGTGTTAGAGAATGTACAAATGGTTAACATTGTTTGTGTCATATCAGTCAGAAAAGCAGTTCTGGGATTTTTTTTTTTAGCTAACTTAGTTAGTTGTTATTCTTGGCTGAATAACTCTAGAAGGTTTTAAAAGCCCTTTAAAATGAAATATGTACACAGTTTGGATTAAATGAAAGTATAGTCAAATTTTTTAATTAGCATGTTTTTGTGTTTTGCTTTGGTACCGAAATTGGTACCGAGAACCGTGGATTTTCACTGGTATTGGTACCGAATACTGAAATTTTGGTACCGTGACTTACCAAACACTACCAAGCGGCAACTGGAAACCAAAATGATTATGAACCACAAAAGTCCAATAATATATACT